ATTCCCTTTCAATCTATCGAGGCTCGATTTAGTGCAAAGGAATAGGGTCCGCCGGATGCAATAAACCAGGGAATGTGTAATCTGGATACAGATAATGCGTGGTTCGTCTAATTACATGCGAGACACCTTTCTTTTTATTTTGCAAAGGATTAAGCTGATTTTTTATGCAGTTTATTGATACTATTTATTCTATATTAAATAGAGTACGTTATTACGCCTTTGACATCAAGTTCTACCCTTCCCTTGAATTGTAATGGGATGCCTATGGTTTGTTTTTCATGGCGTAGAGGACGGAAATGTAGCCCATCGATCTCTTCAAGATCTAAAAACGTAGAAACGCGTTTCGAAATCGAGCAAGGGATTTCCATGTATGTTAATCGCAAAAAAATGGAATTATTTATGCAACAGGTTTTACATTGTATGCACCATCGTTCGCACGCGAGTGTACTGGTAAAAACAGATACGGTTGCGTTGAATTTATTCGCGGTTGCTTACCTCGGAGTATAGCTCCAACGTGAAAGAACAAAACTTGCCCGCGGTGATCCGCAATGGTGATTTCCCCCGACACATGATAATTACCAATAATTTAGCTTTCTTCGACGGCAGTTTATGCCACCCACAGTTGAACGCTGTGGTGGCTATACCCGCGCTCTGTAAAAATCAGCGACTGCATCAAGTTTGCAGCATTTTTAAAGGAAAATTTACTCGGGTCTCGAATATTTATCGACTCGTGCAAAATTATACTCTCAATAGTTTCCCACGCATTAAACCTTACACTACCAACGGGATAATGATATTTAATTGAGCAAAGAAGCTACTCGAATTCCACTTTTGTCCATCCCAATGGTAGTTAGGGGTCCATTGCAAGGAATAAATGATATATTTTTACAATGTGCGCCTGGTTATTCATTCGAACTTAATTTTATTCCAAAGTGAAATGAAGAATGTTCGGTAGTTTGAATGTTACAGACACTGAAGAATTCTGCAGAATTCGTTCTTGAATTTTCACGAGCAATTGTACATACCTCCGTTGCGAGCTTCTCTCCCACGTAGCAATACAAATACAGCTGCGCCATAATGTAGAGCAGGTATAGAAAGAGAAAGATGGTTTGAACCAACATCAGCTCCTTTTCCTCGCCACTGAGCGTCTACAATTCAAATATCCTTGAACTTCTTTCTCGTTGTTGTTCGATGAATAGCAAATTATCCGTACCATGATGGCTTGGAAAGCCTGGAAACAAAGCTGCATCGTGCAGCCAAGCATCTGAACCAGCAACATCATCGTGAAACAGTTCTCAATCGTTCTCGCGAACCTTCACCGATAAGATCCATTTTTCCCTTTCAGTATAACCTAAACGTAGATCACAGTGATCCCTAGCCGTCAATCCTGTTACGGTCCTCAGCACAGCTACATATATTTATAGAGAACTTCAAAGAAATGAAAAGGTAATCGAATAAACGGAACATCGCTGAAGTTTAACAAAACAATTCAGTCGTGTTGAAAATGGAAAAAGAAGGATACAGTTTAACAAAATCACTTAATTTTTCTTGAAAAATTCAATTTGATGGTAGACTAAAAATTTCCAGAATATCGTGCAGAATTACGATATCTTGTTTTAAAATGGTAACGGGGGACCGTAATAGGATGAAAAAAATGAAGAAGCCGTTGAATCTCAATGAAATCGAATGAAAAGATTGGAAATTATCTCCACACAGACCTGTTAATGTATTCGTGTCTTTGTACGATGTCCGCCAAGGCAGCCTGCAGCTGTGCACCCTGGTGTTCTTGAAGGTTCAGCATGTCCTGCTTCAAAATGGCCAGCTGCCCGCAAACGTGAAGGACCAGCATGACGATGAAAGTGTCCACCGCTGTGTAAGTGCCAGCGGAGTACATCCCCGCTACCAATTGACCGAAAATAGTCAGCTCCAGGTTCGGGTTGGTGCTCACGTCGTACGGGAAAATCGCGTGGAAGAACAGTTTGCGATCCGTGTACTTGGCGGTTATCCGGTGTTTCACCACGTACGCGCCCACAAGGAGGTTGCAGCACATCGTGCTCACTAGAATCGTCCTTCTCGAGAACTTCGCGACATTCATCATGATCACCCTGTCGTTGGGCCTCGTTCTAACGCTCCAGTCTATCGCCATATACTTCAGCAGGGACTTCAATGCTTGCAAGTGAGGAAATGTGTCAATGGATCGACTGTGTCAATGCTAGAGCTCTACTACCATTGACAACAGAAAGACACATCCTTCAGAAAGCTGACAAGTAAACCGTTTCGCGTATTTATCGTATCCAAGGGTAGACTATTAACACTTTGCACACGAGAGGTGACTCTCAGTCACCATTTCATTCGATATAACAAAATTATGTTATATATATAATATTAAGTTTCGTATAATGCATCAATACGTGAAGTATTTATATAAAATAGCATTGTTTCTTAATTTACGTATGTTTTCTCATTAGTTCGTTTCAAATGTCGTTTACGTCTTTTAGGGAAGTGTTGAATGTTTCTAGTGAAAAGCTTCCAAGTGTAAAGGGTTAAAAACTGACTATCATAAGAAACATTTAATTAGGTTGTTACCTAGTTTATATTCGAAATTTATATTTAGACTCTGTTTACCTTTGACATCTTTATTCGAATTTTGTTGTTCGCTTTCGAAACCTTTAATTAGATGCCTAAATTATTTCTGATGAGTTTATATTCATTCATATGTTCAGTTTACCCATTTGGCACCTATGGAGGAAATTCCTAAAACTCTTGAAATTATATTGAAATTGTTAATAAGTAAACTAATCCTCGATTACATCGAAATTTTCTCTACCTACCACACAAATCGAACGAATTACACGTCTTACGGCACAAGCCGTATTAACCCCTTAACTTGTACGCTCGAGTTAATTCGAGCGCGCTAAACAGGTCAAACTGTGAAAATAACAATGTGAAAGCAAAGAAAAAAAATCGTTTTATTGATATTTATCATTTACATGGGATTGTAAGCTATAACACCTATTTATTCAAGAATAAAATACAGCCTTTTTCCATGAAACAAAAGCGCAGTAAATCAAAATTGACTTTTTTTTGGCTTGTTTTTTTTTTCAAAAAAACTGTGCGTTAAGGGGTTAATCATAACTTTCACAGTGAATGAAACGAAAAGTATGTTGCACTTACATGTCCCGCGCATCCAAAAGGTGACCGTTTTGAAGAAGGACAGGAAGACTGTGAGGTTCGCCATCGAAAAATTGTCTACCAACAGGTACAGGTTGTGCCGAATGTTAGGTATGTTGGCGGTCTGCGGGATGCAGACGAAGCACAGCATGAAGAAGATCGGGACCAGGACCAGATAGCTCGATCGTTGCTTCCATCCTCTCTCTTCCGGCCAGATGCCCATGAATTTCATCGTGTAATAATTCCATCCATACACGTACCCCAAGTCTAACGATATCAGAGAATAGAACGAGTGGCCAGAGAACGGCGAGCAAGAAGGAAAAAAGTTACGGACCCTTTTCCACGTCCACCGAGACCATCGCAGGAGACTATTTTCTAAGAAATGCAAGGCTGTTCTTTTATTGAAAACTCACTTCCCTATTCGCGCATGCTCGTTTCAACGATTGGAAGCGGAGCGCGGAAATCGCTTACAGATCAACACGAACAGGGGTGGTCGAAGCTTCTCGTCGGGCGGATTCGCGTAAGTGAAACGTATTGTCTATTTCATAAAATTAGTTTCTTATTTTTTTAACATCGTCTCGTTCGTTTGATGTTCCTCGGGTTAACCCCTTGCGCTATGATTTATTTCTCAGCTGCGATCAGTGCGACTACTTTGACGTTAATAATTTATTGAGCACAGAAACAAATTCTGTTGCATAATTTTACTGCTGGAATATTATAGGAGAATTTGCGACTAGTCTAGGTGTTTCTCTTTTTTTTTTAAATAATGTTTTAACCCTTTGCGCTGCAATTGTTTTCTTAGTTTGCTCTCGGTTAGCTCTGATTTAAGTCAACTGTAATTTTTGTGGTCTCGACACCTCGCATGGGGTGCGAAGAAATTACTTGCAGATATTTAAAGTTCGTTAACTTAGCGGTGGAGTCTATTAAGTTATTTTTAATTCTGTTAAATATTTTGTTTGAAAATAGAGTCTTAAATACTGTTGCTCGGTTCTAAATGCTAAATCCTCAAAATCAATGTTTTAGATGCAAATCAGTTCACCGGAAATGTCGTTGTGGTAAAATATCGAATAGTTGAGAGTACTTGTTGGATCCATTTACTGTCGCTTCCTAATTGCAGTGAGTAGCTATAGTGTTCATACAATGATTTGTTCCAGAATTAAAGAATGTAATTCTCGAATGTAATGCTGGATACAATTTTATTAATCAATTGAATATAAAATGCGTACGAAGAATGTTTGAGCTCTATTAACGGTGATTTGTAATTTTTCTTGCTGTAAATGGAATTAATACTCATTGTTATTTTCTTTATTGACGAATCATTCTCTCATGGCCAGTAACACGGATAAATATCCGGCGGAAGTCCTTAACACCTGGAAAAATTCGTTCAATTTTCCGATAGGTTTCTGATTATTGGAAGAATGCTAATAAAATATCGGTACATTCAATAATAATTTATTGTTGACTCACGACGTTGAAGAGTTCTAAAGAGAAGGGACTGAATTTTCCTGCGGTTATCTGGAAGGATATTCTCGCTCGACATATTACGTTAATCAGCATGGTTGCCTGTTTTGACGGTAAATCATACCAAATGCACTCGTACGCTGACCGAGCAATCTCAGTACTCTAGAATTTAGAGAAACTATCGTTACAGATCAACTGCGCGAAAGTATTTCTTACTTTTTGTTCTTCAATAGTCCAACTCGCAGTCCAAATTTAGAACCTTTTGTCATTCCTTCTTTTTGTAAAAGTATTTGCTAAGTATTTATTATTTGTTTTCTTCCATTTCACCGGTAATAAATGGATATAGAATAATATATATATATATATATATATATATATATATATATATATATATATATATATATATTTTAAATACTTACTTCTCTGACAAGAGCTTCGCCCACATAACAATATATAAATAAATGCAACATCGTGTATAACACGTGTATGATAAAAAATATTAACCCAACAATAGGCACTTCTTCGCACTCTTGATCCACAGACTACGAAAAGATTATGCAACTACCGTTACTTGATCAGGGAATTGTATTCAATTGATTGTTCCATGAACGTACAGTTAACATACGATACCCAGTCAGACACAACATCGCTGTGCAGATCAGGGTTTGTATAAGCAGTGTTAGATTGAAGCAGTCTTCCACAACCACTGCAAATCTAGAACGCAAAGTTTAAAGGATACACGCTCAAAATTGAATCTCAATTATCATCAGCAGTCTGTAACTATTGGTACGAATAAAAATTTCACGTTTTCCGAGTATCAACTGATAAATACATTAGGTAATAAAGAAATATTCTCTCTTTTGGCAGGCCATAGAAACATAAAAGAAGCAGTCAACGCAGCGCATTATTTATGAAAAAAAAATCAACAAAGCCGCAGCCGCAATCACGAAATCAAGAGTTAATTGCAAAACAAGAATTCTGAAAGGAATAAGACGCACAATTTTACCTTTTTTATTTCATTTCTAGCATAAATTATCGTACATTATTATAGCATAGAGTGTCAAATATTATAGCAAAAATTATCATAGATGATTCTTGCATAATATATTATACACACCTGAACAGTTGATTATGTCTGTACACAATGTATCCGAGTCTCTCATTGAACTTCACAAAATTGTGCCCGTCGCTCTTGTTCGCCAGATTTTCGAGGGCCATCCTGAGAATAGACAGTTGCCCGCACAAATGCAACACGAGAAACGCTAGAAACGTGTCGAAACAAGAGTAGCAGATTGCGGTCAGAACGGTGCCCATAAATTGGCCCAGCCATGTGATCTCGAAATTGGGACTCTTCTTCGTGTCATAAGGGAACACGGCCGGATGCAGGAGACCGCCCAAGTCGGCCTCCGAAGTGTTCTGCATGTTGCTCCAAATTTGCAGCGACACGAACGCGAACAACATGAAACAATTCAGCGTGGAGGAAGAGATAGATATCATTCGACTCAACCGGGCGTTCTTCATCATCGTCTGACGGTCCGTTTCCGGCAGGGACCTGGACCAGTCTTCGAGTATTTGATTGACCAAGGACGTGAGAGCTGGAACGATAATGATTTACTGCGATGAAGACTCGAATGCGATCAAAATCGAAGAACTTTATCTTCTTTGATATATAAGTTACGAATTTGTTAGCCAAACATGCTCGTAATAATATAAAAATAACAATAATAAAAGTATAAACTTGGATAGTTACAGATGTCTCGTTCTACTTTATTATCTCGTATTTGACTTAGCTTAGAATTCATTTAACAAACGACAGAGCAAAAATTTGTCAATTATACGTTTGCAGTTACCCTGTTTGTGGTATCGTAAAACGATTTGCTTCGCCAAAGCGAAAACGATCGGCACGTTGATCGATAGATTCTCGACTGCCTCGTTCAAATTCGTTGATTTCAGTATCAAATTCGCTGTCTGTGGTGCGCATATGAACATAAGCGACACGGAACTCGTGAACCAGAAGACGAAAGACGATATTCGTCGCGCGCGATTCGAGATCACCCTTGGTTCCGGCCACACGCCGAGCAAAGTTAGATTGAAACGATTCCATCCCACCGCAAAATCCATTTCTCTGTTCGCATTTAAATGGACGTTGCTATTCAAAGACTATATTTCATCGTTACAGTGAAGTACAGCCGTAGATGCAACGCGAATTAAATGCAGCAAAGCTAAAAGTCAATTCTGTAAGGCTCGAGACCGGAAACAAATACTCTGGAGCCTATAAATATACTAATTAACACCAGATTTACGGAATCTGTTAACTCGACGAATATTCAATTTTATGAACATTATTTAGGAGAAGTATAAGTCAATTTTAATTGATGTATGTAGATTGCTACATAATATTATATGCCATCACATATTGATGATAAATCAGTGAATATTTACTGTTCCAGGAATAATATAATGAAGTGTTCAATACAACGTCTATAAATCTAGTGTTAAAAATATGTCTACATGTAAGAAGTAAGTAATATCGGACAACGAATAATGGTATCAGTATATTCCACATTTTTACACCAACGAAGCTTTATTTTCAAGGACCATCATCTCACAGAATGCAACTCATAGAAATCATTGATGGATCAGTAACGGCACTACAGAAATTCTCTTTTTAATACTAACGTTTGCACTTTACAGGTTTCGCGGGTTCCTTTCACTCGAATTTTTGTCGAACGGAGATCTATCGACGACTGAACTCCCAGATTGCGCGCAACCCGTTGCCTTCATTACGCATTCGTATCCGTTCCCTGAAAACGTTTTCCGATACGAACTTTTAATAGCTACAATCTGGAAAGTAATCGTGGCAGGACACCCTGTAATCCGAGCTCTTTTTGTATGTTCAACGAATACCGTCGAAAACCGTTCACAGACTCTTAAAATAATGACCATTCTAATAGACGGAAAAAGTTCGAACAGTTCAGCCGGTGAATGTAGTTTTGTCATGGAGGTAGAAATTTCTTCTTATATGCAGCACTATGGACACATCCGCAGGTTCAGTGAACTTTCATAAATGCCATTCGTAATGGTTCTAACTATAATCTCTAGATTGTGCGCGAAGATGGTCATTCGTCGCCACCCGAGATAGTGAGAAGAACTGACAGATAACCCATCGCTGTTCTTAGAATCTGAAACGATACGATCAGTGGTTCTTCGGATTTCTGTATTGCTGTTTCGTCAACAATCGCTAATGTGTTTGAGTTTTTATTGTAACATCGTGTCGTGGACTATAGAGGTGGAAACTTACACTGCTGAACATTTCCATGGAGAAGATACCAAATTTGCCTGCTTTCAAATAAATCGGTCGCGTGGATCTTAGAATGATAAATAAAAGGCACTTTGCGTCTGATGGCGCGACGTTGTACCATTTAGATTCGTAAGCAGCGATGCCCAAACTACTGCTCTGAAACATGTTTCTTTGTTGCAGAGTTTGCTCAACTTGTCGTAGTTTTTCATACAGAAGAGAAATTGAATGGGTACGCGTTGTTTGACTACATGTAATTCTCAATTGAAGCTCATGAAGGTTTGAGGAAGTTTTAAATATAACTGTTGTGTGATCTATCGTAAATTAAACTGCATAATAATAATATATATTCTATTCTCTTTATGGGGCCACCACAGTCTAGTAGTCTCCGTATTCTTCCATTAGGAAGAATGTTTTTCCTAAATTTTCTTCACGCAAATTCGTTTCCTGAGTCCTGATTTTATGGATATTACAACAGAACAACATCCATGTTTAGCATGGATCTTTTTCACAAATTAAATTTTATCCAAATTCATGAACAACTTCACACAATATAGTAGGATATAATTTATTTCTTTGGATGAGATAAAGTCGTCTTTTGGGAAAGCTCTTAGGAAAATCGTAATAATGGCATCAGAATTATTATTTAGATCCGAATTGCAATGTCATGGTGGGTAGGATATTAAAATGCTGAATGAACTATTTTTGTTGTTGTATGAACAACAGTCCCCTCCATCACCCATGATCATCATCACACAGGAACGAAGGAGGAGTAAAGTTGTAAATGTATTTTTTTTAGTGTAGTCTGACAATTTTATAATTTTACTTTACTCATATAATTTTACTGAAGAAAAAGCGTAGGGAAAGCGCACGTTCACTCATCTTGAATAATGTACGCGGTGAAGGACGCTTAAATTTCAATAACAGGAGTGTATATCAATTCTAGATACTACAGTATCGGATCAGACTTGGACTTATTTACCGTATATTGAATTGTATGTATTATAAGTCCTACTATTCAAATACTAGGCCGTCTATTACATTCATCAATATATTAGTTAATAAGATACGAGTGAGAGATACTTACTTGAACAAGAAGTAATTCGCCCACGTAACAATAAACATACATGTGCACTGTAATAAACAATACGAAGAGTATGAAGAATAACATTTGAAAAGTTAGAAAGCCGTTCTCGTCTTTGAGTATCACCTGAAATCTCAATTAATATGTGAATTTACATCTCTCTCGTCGTTCGCTCCAGGAAACTTACATTGAAAAATAGGAATCCCTGAAAACATATTTCGACGGTGCTGAGCAGCATTTGCAAAAACAATAGAATGCTGAAGCACTCCCCGATTTTAATGCCAGTCCTTCAATGAAAAACATCGTTCATCACTATGCTTAGGTCATAAACTATAATTTCTTAATTTATTGTTCCTGGGAAGAGAAAGAATGAACTGATCGTTCGAAACCGGCAACGAATTGAACGAATAAAATTACAAAAACCTAACAGAAACATATTTAATAGATTACGTGAATGTATAATTTCAATTTGTAATATTGGACAAACAACGTTTTCCTTTCACCTTCTCAATATTCTGTCCAATTGTTAAATTTCAAATTCATAGTATCAAATACAAGCAAGTTCAAACTTTCAAATGACCTTGAACAATCAATTAATTCTTTCACAGACAATAGAATTTCCTTGTTCACCAGTTCAGATGTTCGTGTCTCTTGACGATCCAAGTCAGTTCCTTCTGAATGTCGCTAGATTTTCTGGTCCCGTCCGCTTCGTCCATTAACCTTGTCAGTTTCCGGTTCAAATTCTGGAACTGTCCGCAGGTGTGCAACACTAGCATAGCTATGAAAATGTCGACGCCGGTGTACGGGATGGTAGCGCAGTAGGCAGCGATCACTTGCGCCACGTTCGTTGTTATCCTGACCGGCGTTCGTCTCATGTCAAAAGGGTAGTATCCGGGATAAATGACCAAATGGTCCTGGCGCTCTGTGGTTGCGTTACTTCCGGCGATCGTGAACGACCGGATGCTGATATAGGCGGTCACCATGCACTGCGTCAAAATCGTACACCAGATGGATAAGTATTTCGAGAGTTTCGCGCTGTCCATCATTGTTGTTCTCTCCTCGTCAGTCTTCGGAGCGTACCAGTCGTTGTAAAACGATTTAATCAGAGGCTTGAGATCTTCGAACATAATTCGCAGTCAGTGAAATTTGAGGAATCGATTTGAAAAATTGTGATTAATTGATTGCTATATTCTATTTAGCGTAATTGGCTGTGTTCTTGTAAAAATCTTGCTTAATTATCTTTATTCTCTGGAACTTAATAGAGCAATTAATGTATGAATTGATTAATAACTATAGAGAAAATATAACTTATTAATTAATAGCTAGAAGATAGTATGTAATATCTCTCTATAATATTTACAGTTGCATGGTTTAGAAGGTAAGAAATTTCTTTAAGAAGTTTGTAATATTGGAGCTTGAACAACTGTTAACATTTTGTTGCACTAAAAGAAAATTAACTGTTTATTATTTCACTATTAGCCTCACCTTCTCGAAGATACCAGACAACGAATATTTTTATGGCCGCATTGTAGCCTGGAATGTTAGCCAAAGTCAACGTCTGCGTGATCTCTCCGAGGTCTCCGTCCAATCTGAACAAATTTATGCTTTGCCATATGGTGACAAACATAAGAGTGCAGAAGATGGCAACGAAAGCACGGAAATCCGCCAGACGATCCTGTTGCACCATTGGTTCCGGCCAGATACCAATTATATGCAGATTCAAACGATTCCATCCGATCGCTTCTCTCAAATCTATGACATTATCACAATTGTAAGAAGATTGATAGTACATTCGCGGAAGTGTTAAAATAACAGGTTTGTAATATCTGGGAAAAATTAAAAGAATTTCAATTTGTATATCTTTGAAGAACTTTCTTACTGTCAATATGACGAGGAGTAAATCTAACTATAACCATTTTTATCGAAGGAAAATCTTGTTAAATTTCATGAATAATTAAACAATAAAGCACTATAGAAACATTTGAAAAAAATACTTCTCAAACTTTATTCAGTACATTCACTGGTCGACGGAAAACACTTCCACGATGTATATCTATTTCTTTCCACTGAAGCAAAGGTCATTAATTATTTTGAACAGTTAATTAATGACGTATACTTGTCACTAACTAATATTGATGTTCCAGCAACAAAGTCTTCATGAATGAAGACGTAGTGATAAGTGATAGATACTTTTATCAATTTCCTTAAAAGTTTCAATGAAATTTAAACAGTTTTTTCACTTTTCTATTTAGAAGAGTGAAAATTCTGTTTCGGGGAAGAGGAATGGTACCTCGTTCGAAATCCATTGCTACCACTCGCGTATAGACCACAAAACGAAATGACTACTCACGAAATTCTCTCTGTCGTCTGGTTGGAAGGACGCATGCTCGTTTGCCATGAGAAACTTATTTTCCACCCCCTGCAGAAAATGCAACGAAGTCAAGTAAAAGAGGGCTGCCGACGTAGTTTGGTAGTTTCTTTCCTTCGCGACGACGAAAAAAATTCCTGCTTCGTTCGTAACTTTGTCTGTCGACGTCCTCACCCTCGTCGATTATTTAAACGACCCCTGCAGACTCAAACAAAATTTTCTTTCCATGGTTTTCGTAATCGACAGATGTAACTCGTAGAGTTACTTTAATGAAACACGTTACGAATTATTGTCTGCGGAACCTCGAAATGAAAAACAACTTGCGAGGCAAGCATTTCGATTCTTTTAATTGGACTGATAGTAATTAAACGAATAACGATACCTTTACCGACTAAGTGGTGGAAACTTGAAGTGACAGAATAATCGACGTACTGTGTTTCCAAATTAAACTTCGATCTATTCTTGTTGAATTTTTTTTATTCTGGTGAGTTGTTAAACATTTTTAAGCATAGTGTATAATTTAGAGTGAATTGTTTTCTTCTGTAAAATATTATTCCCGCGAATGACTGAAATGACAAGTTACACGGAATGGAAGATTGTAATTAAAATAAGAATTCAAATCGTAGGTAATTATGTTAATTACGAATGAATACCTGAAGCAGACACTTTTTCTCAAATTCTGGATCTTAGGTAGTTGAGTATTTAATATACGGATCAGTCTGTTGTTAAGATGCCTCGTTCTCATTATACATAAATATGAGCAAAGTTTTATATTGTTAATTTCATTTACAGATCTTTTTCCATTCACGTTGGAATAAGTGAATTATTAAAGCATGTATCGTATCTGAAATGGAAGATTTTATACGGATCAAACACGCGAGGATCTATTTATCTTCTGTTCACAGAATAATTTCATGAGAATTTTATTGAATAAGATTAATAATCACATATTATCACAAAGATCAGAACACTTGTTTATAATCAACAAAACGTAAATCGTATCTGTCTTTATTTATTTGTCATCAGTATTTGTATCCTTCGTAGCCAGTAACATGAACATATATTCAGCAGAAGTTTTTATAGTCTGAAAAAAATGTTACACCCTCGACATTTTTATTATTTTACAACTAAATAACAGCATATTAGTATTTGTTGGTAATTTCTTGTGAACTCAGGGCGGTGAAAAGTTCCAAACAGAACGGTTGAGGTTTTTCAGCTGTTATTTTTATCGCTTTTCTAGCTCGACATATTGTAATAATTGGCGTTATTGTTTGTTTCGGTGGTAGTTCGTACCAAATACAGTCAAACGCTGACTGAGCAAAACCAATGCTCTGGAGTTGGGTATGTTATAATTAAACGTTAATCACGAGAATGTTTAAAATTCATATTTTAATGGAAAACATTTTTGAAAACTGGTTAACAACGGCTCGGTATTCCTTAATATTTCGGATAACATCTGTTCAACTGGTTTCTGCGTGTAGTAACATCATCATTGCGACTTACTAATTCATATTTCACCATCTTATAATTGAATTATGATAACATTTAAGAGATATGGATTATTTAGTCTATTAATGATGTGTTAAACACGAAAATATGATTTAAATGGTCATTATTGATTATCGATTATTATTAATTAAATTACTGTTATTAATGTATTGCTTACTCTAATTGCGTCGGCAGTACATACCCTAAAATTGAAAACGTAAAAATGAAAAAGCTATGTTTCAAGCAAATATTAAATGGTATTACATTGTGTAGGATAATTAAAACGTTTTTTGTTGCATCGGAAAGTTATTATTTACGGGAAAATGGACTAAGAATAGAAAATATAGCTGTTCTACTACAGTTGTCGATTTGGAACAGTGAATTGAAGTAATATTCTTTCAGTTACCCTTCTGGTGATACTGTAAAACGACTTCCTTCACCAAAGAGAGCGAAACTGTCACATTGATCAACATATTCTCAACCAGTTTGTGCAAAGTTCTCGACGTCAGCATCAAATCCGAGGTGCGAGGTGCGAGGGTGAACCCGAGCACCGCAAAATTTCTTATCCAAGAGTATATTAACCGTTAAGCTGACTCCATTTCATCGCATAATCCATTTCCCTATTTATATTTCAAATTCAACCTCGATAACGAACACTTTTCAACAGTTACACTGTCTCAGCGTTTAAAGAAACAAGAAAAAAACATTACTAAAACTAATAATGCATCCAATATATTTTTGAAAACGACTTGGATATTATTAATGGAAAATCAAATGTAAAAATCAAGTAACCTAGGAGCCATAAATTTGAATATTAAGATTAGTTTCGTTGCCTTAGAATGCTGTAATGTTAAAAAATAAATAACGATACCGTATGTTTAACAAGTGTACACCAATTTTATTTTATTTTCAAAAATCATAGAATTGGATTCAATACTATACTCAGTTTCGTCAGATTCAATGTACAGAAGTTTCTATACGCGTAGTCTCTTTGAACGTTCGCAGACCGTAAGAATGTTTCATTACACATTCGTATCCGTTTCGCGAGAATGTTTTCCAATACGAACTTCTAATTGCAGCAATCTAAAAGTTCGCGGAGGTAGGCAACAATTGCAACTCATTTCGTTTGTCCGACCGATAAAAAAAGTTTCACAGTTACGACAGGAAACGCTGTTCGTCTTCGTTGACACAGGAATCCGTTCTGAGGTTGAACATTTTACTGTTAGTGTAGAGGATTGCTGAACTATTACCAACGACAACATGGTAACTGAAACTACAGTCTCTAGATTCTTTTTTCTAATGGGGACATTCAATCGAGATTGCTGGAGACTGTAAGAAGAACCGACAAATAACCCATTGCTGTCCTCAGGATCTGGAATGGCAAAATTGGAGATTTTTCGAATTTCTATGTTTCTGTTACTTTAAAAATATTTAGAGTATGGGGTGACTGAGTGAATGCTTATTTTAGGATCACATGGTGTGTATAGTGAAATGGAACTTACGGTGTTAAACATTTCCATGGAAAAGGTACTGAATTTTCCTGCTGTCAAACGAAGAGGTCTCGTGGATCTCAGCATGATAAATAATAGGCACTTGGCTTCTGATGGCGCAACATTGTACCAGTTGGATTCGTATGCAGCAATGGCCATACTACTACTCTGAAACAACATCTCTGTGACACGGTTGAGAGAATTCTCACTATAGGTTTGTCTAGCTCATAAATTAGTGTCCTTTGTCTTGTGTGTATACTTCCTAGAATCAGATTATGTCGAGCAAATTATATTTCTTTTTGGTAATTTTTGATAATATACACACAAGTTTGTTAGCAGCATTCTTTTATCTTTGATCGTTGCAGAAAATTGGTCGGTGTTTGAATCATTCTGGATGATCTTTTTAACATTTACTTTCTAATATAATTCTGAATGATTTTTTTATAATTTTAATTCCTGAATATAAAACTTTGAATGATTTTTAATTTGCTTAATATATTATATAATTTAGAAAGAGGTAATAAAATCTTCTATTCATCTCGCTCCTCCAGTGGATCCAATAGGGACATCCAAAGGATTTTGGGCATTTTGTAAATTTAAGGAGGGTTTTTTGCAGATTCCCAATTTTATATGTGGAATTTGTGGTGACAGTTTAACCAGCAAACAAGGAGTAGAGGAAACACAGTTACATTTTTTGTATCCACAAAAACCTTTTATATATACTGTGTATCTCCTATTACGTGAAAAAATGCACGCGGTCACCGATCTTAATTAAGCACGACGCGACGAACGGTTGATGTTTGACAACTGCGACGTAATTGAAAGCTTCCATGCCTTGTACGATATCTTCTATATATATTTTCATTTTTTAGTTTAAATAAGTAAGTATCGGACTTCCATTTATAATTATTGAACCACCCATTAAGAAAAATGGAAAAAACGAAAAAGCATATCAGATCAGAATCCCATAAATTGCTTATGGTATTCTTTTTCCATGAGAAATAAGAATAAGTATCGCCTGATATAATTGCATTAAACTGTTATACTTACATGGACTCGTAATAATTCGCCTACGTAACAATAAAGATACACATGCACTATAACAAATAATATGAACAGCGTGAAGAATATCGTTTGAAAGGCTGATATACCAGTCTCCGAAACGAATAGCACCTGCAATCTCGAATCAATATATGCAATTAATATCCTTCGATATTACGTTAACAACTCTAGACAACTTACGTTATAGAACGAAAATCCTTGGAAACATATTTCAATGGTACAGAGCAGCAATTGCCAGAGCAGGAGTTGGTTAAAACAATCCTCAATTCTACTAGCGGCCCTTCAGGAAAAAAAATATGCAACACTATGGTCACAGAATTACTAATTTCTTGATTATACCTTATACGAAGTACTGAACTCGCTGTTCAACGCCCACTGAGTCACTGAATTATATATTGTACTACTAACAAATACGTAGAATAATGAAACGGTAGAATATAGAAAAAAATTTTCAAACAAATCATTGGACCATTTCTTTCATACATAAATAAGTAAACTATTTCTCGAAAGATTGATACAAAAATTCTCTTTTACAAAAGCACAAGAAGAACTTTTTCAAAAAAAGTAAAACTCCGACAAAAGTGTTCAATACAAAATTTCCCATAATTTCAGGTGATCTCAATTATCTGCAGACGGAAACGATTTATCAAAAAAGAAAAATGATAAAAATATTCCTGAATTGGTATGTCAGACGAAAAGAAAACTTTTTTTCTCCAAAATGAAAATCATTTCTCCAAGCATGAATAAATGAATATTAATTTTATTATGTTATATTAATAAGATATTATAATAAGAATATTATATGAATAAGATAATATCTTTCAAAATCGTAAATGACGTTGAACAGTTGATTCTCCGATAGGCAAAAGAGATCCATTGTTCACCAGTTCAAGTGTTCGTGTCTCTGGACGATCCAAGCCAGTTCCACCTGGATCTCTTTCGGTTTCCTCTGGCCATCCATCAGTCTCGTCAGTTTCCTCTTCAAGTTTTGGAATTGTCCGCAAATGTGCAACACGAGCATAGCTATGAAATTGTCGACACCAGTGTACGGAACGGCACCGCAGTAGGCGCCGAATACTTGGGCCACATTCACGATCACCCTGACCAACGTTGGTCTCATGTCGAACGGATAGTACGCAGGATAAATACTCAAACGATACTGCGGCTCCGCGGTTATATTGTACCTGCATATCAAAAACGATCGAAGGAAGATGTACGAGGACACCATTATCGCCGTCAGAACGCTGCACCATATAGACAAAAATCTGGACAAATTCGCGCTGTTCAGCATCGTTGTTCTGTCCTCCTTAGTCTTCAGTGTGTACCAATCATCGTAGAACGACTTAACCAGAGGCTGAAGATCTTCAAGACAAACACGCGTCGGAGATTAACTCTTCGCGGACGGGAATCATTGAAACTTCTAAAAACTTTGTTCGTAAAAAATGCAATTATTGATCGAAAACATCTAGTTATTCGAATAATAAAACTGTTAGTTTGTAGCGTGCGATTTTAGATATAAAATTGATTATTTTGGAACTTTGTTGTTTTCAAATTTATTATTTATCACGGCTGTATTCAACCGCCGAAGCTTAAAGTATTCGATGAAAATCTGTCCATGAAGTTTTTATAAGATCTGTTATCGATCATAGAAACGTTGTCATGTTAAATGTTTTGTTTCAAGGAATATTAGGAAATTTTCTCGAGATGGAAATGTTGTAAATAATTGTCGTTTGTTTTCCATTGTTCGCAGGCTCACCTTTTCGACAATACAACAGTACAAGTAATTTAATGGCTGCGTTGAATGTCGGAATGTTAGCCATAGTCAATGTTTGCGTGATCTGCTCGAAATCTCCGCCCAGAAGAAACAAATTTATACTTTGCCATATGACGATGAAGAAGAACAGACAGGAAACAGATACGATAGCTCGGAAATTCGCGGCACAGTTGTTGCTTTTCGTTGGTTCCGGCCAAATGCCAACTAAGTTCAGATTGAACAGGTTCCATCCGATCGCGTATTTCAAATCTAGAAAAATATCATTACAACTGCAATATCAGAAATAATGTGATCACTAAAAAATCAATACAATCGATTGGTAATATTATTCAAAAATTAAAAGAATCCTTCCTCGTAGATTAATGCGTCAAAGACTGAATAATTTCCACCGAAAACACGTATACAATTTCAGAAGTTATTTTTCCTTGAAAATTTCACTGTTCAAACATTTTTCATATTATATTCTCCGAACATTTATTCATGTATTTTTAATGTTCCCCAAACACTTCTTCGACGAGAAAAGTAATTGTCACTGGCATAGAAAAATTATGTTACTTATCCCATACGGCGAATAATTTTTAATATTTTTATCTCTAAAATGATTAATATCTTGTTACAATATTTTTGTACGTTTGACACGAAATTTGTTAATTAATCCCAGCACTAACTCTTGATAACTCTGAAATCTTCACGACTTCAACTTTTTAACTGATATTTCGTCGAATCAAACGATCGTTAAATTTAAAAAGAAGAAAGTGAAAATTCAGTTTCGGAAACGTAGAGACGAATACCTCGTTCGAAATCCATTGACATCACTCGCGTGTGTATAGTCTAGACGATAAAGTGACTATCGAGAAATTCCCCGGTGTTCTGAACTGTCGCATAGTCCATCGGGAGGACACATGCTCGAACACTGTAAGAAAATGATTTTCCACCCTCTTTTCTTAGAACGAATAACAAAGTTAAATAGTGGAAGACTCTGGACGTAGTTCCATAGTTCTGTTCTGTCGCGGTGACAAAAAAATGGCCAATCGATTAGAACTTCGTTGCAACAGTCTTCCCGCTGTCGTTAGCATCGTCGATTATTTAACGACGTTTCCAGAGTTTAAAAAAAATTGCCTTTCGCTACTCCCTTAACCGACAGTTACGTTAATGACACGGTGCACGAATTACTGCGGGATCCCGAAGACGCGTGCTTGTTATACACGCGTTTGATCCGATAACTGTCCACAAGAAACAAATATTTGAATAATCTTCACCGTATTAAGTCGTAATGTTAGAATAAATACAGATAGGTAAACTAAAAGACGATAGAAAGCTTCCGAATAAAATACAATTTAAATTGGACCAAGTGAAATTTTCCTGTGAACTTCACGAGTACTTCCGAAGTACGACGAAACTTTTTGGTCAACTTAATCGGGGTCGTTAACAAACACTTCTCTCGTCTAGTAAAATCGAAATTGAAATAAATGTTCGAGTGGCAATTAATTGCGTTAATTGCAGATGGACGTATGTACCTGGAGCAGACAATGTGAGGATATATGCAATGGTGAAGAAAAGTTTCTGGATTAATTATATTTTTTTGAACATAGCGTCGAATGTTAGTGGTCAGGTGGTTACGAATTTGACATATAGGTTAATTTTCTGTTGATTCTTTTCAGTGACGTTTTTTTACGTGATTACTTCTGGTGTTTATTTACTTGATTTGTGTTGTTCTTTTCAAGAGGTGTTACTTGGTGGTATCTATCTGTAACTTCATACTCTCCATTACACCTCCGGATTTTCAGAATTTGTTCTTGAATCGGTGAGTTACTGAAACAAGAATCGCTAGTAAAATGGTGTTTCCGTATGGACTAAATTCGTGAGCATCTGTTTTACTTTATTCGCGACTTTCTTCCGTGGAATTGATCCTTAACATGAAAAATGTAAGAAACCTTGAATCCAATAATTTGTTCAACAAATTCTCGACCATTTCGTTCAAACTCTTGCATGTTAATATTGAATTCATTACGTAATGTGTACAAATGAACCAGGACGTCGTGAAGCATGCATTTCAAAGTGAACACGTTTCGGTTGTTGTTATACTTCATCGTGCAGGTTTCTATCATTCAGAGAAACGAGAAATAAAAATCTTTGAAATTAGTAATGAATGGAATTGGTAGATTATGAAACCAGGAATGAAAGTCTGGCAACCTATCTATAGAATCTTGGTAAATTTCTCTTACTGCGGAAGTAATTGCGTTAACACATTATCTGTCGGTAGCTATTGAACAGTTTATTAAAGATTAATAAAGCATCAATGAAACTTTCGATGAAAATAACAATTACCATCCACAATCAGCAAAATATATCAAGTCAAATAATATAATTGTTATTTGAGAATTATTGTTCAAAGGAAATTATTAGACCACTTCATAAGATTGTGTTAGTGAAAAGCCTGTTAATAACTCTCCGATAAATAAGGTGTTCAATAACAGATAAGCCACGAATATGTTCAACAAGCAACATCGATTGTATATTACCATCAAAGTATACATTGCAGAATGTAATACGTAAGAATAATTTTTAAACTATTACTTAAATACTATTTTAATACCTAATTATCGTCTAACCTAAGAACTTTACCGCAAGATTTCTACACGTTAGAGATAGTTTGACCGTTCGCTAACCAAGGAATTCCCGCTTCCGACAAACGAACTACCAGATTGCAATGTAACCCGTTACAGGTTACAACCTCCATTACTTTGTTTGCATCTGTTCCAGGAAAACGTTTTTCGATAAGAAATTCTAACGGAATGCAATCTGGAAGTTCGCAAGACAAGACAAACCGTAATTTTAACTGTTTTCGTCCGTCTGACACATCAACAAAGTTACTTCAATTTTGTCATGGTAACCTTTTTGTCTTCGATTATTTTTGTTTTGATTTCGACTCTCAGAAATCGTACCATAGTGTTGTAACTAAAATGTCTAAACTTCTTTCTAATGGAGATGCTCAGTTGTCGCCACTAGAGACGGTGAGAAGAACTGATAGATAACCCATGGCTGTTCTTAGAATCTGGAAAGAAAGTGTCAGTGATTTTCTTAGCTTCCTGTATTCATGGTTTCTTAAAAATCACTAGGGTATCGGGTAACTACAAGAATTTTCATTCTGAGATTCTATAGTGGATATACTGGTGAAACTTACGCTACTAAACATCTCCATGGAAAATATACCAAATTTTCCCGCTGTCAAACAAAGTGGTCGCGTGGATCTTAACATAATGAATAAAAGACACCTTGCATCCGATGGAGCGACGTTGTACCATCTGGATTTGTAGGCAGACATGCCCAAACTACTGCTCTGAAACATGTTTCTATGACGCGGGTTTTGTTCAATGAGTCGCGGTTTCAGACCTATATTAGAATCAAAAAAAGCGTTGTCCAATTACATTTGGAATCTGGATTATGAATCCTAGGAAACACCTATACGTCGATAATCTTTGATAGATTTTCATTTTCTGTGTATTCGTAATATGATTTTGAATTTTCGTAGAGCTTGAATAACTACATACGATTGTTGGATATGTTGGAGTTTGGAGAATGAAATTTGGATTTGGATTCTCAAATTATTCAAATAGTATTTTTTTCTGATGTGTATAGACGGATAATATAAATATTCTATTTTACTTGAACTTTAAGTTTCTAGAATGATCCAAAGAATATATTCAAATGATTGAAACCAGAGTTATCCAAAGTATTCGGAATGTTTATTTTATTTTGAGGTTTGGTAGATCAATTCATATAGAATTAAAGTTGAAGAGAAAGAGAATTTGAATGAAAAGGAAAACACTGGTTTAGAACAACGCTTCCAGAATTATTAGTGAGAAAAATGGACGGCTATCCCCCCCTTTCTTGAATTGACTCGCGACAACTGATGTTTAACTCAAATAACAGGAGAAACTTATCATTATGCACTTGAACAATTAAGGAAGTATTGAATATGAATCGATTGATTGCATCGGACGGATGTGATACTCACTTGGACAAGAAGTAAGTCGCCCACGTAACAATAAACAAACATGTGCACTATAACGAACGATACGTAGAGCACGAAAAAGAACATTTGAAAGGTTAGTAAACCGTTCTCATCTTTGAGTATCACCTGCAATCTCAAATGAATGCATACGATTAATATCGCTCGTCTGACCGCTCGAGAAAACTTACATTGAAAAATGAGAATCCTTGAAAACATATTTCGACGGTGCTGAGCAACATTTGCAGAAACAGTAGAATGCTAAAGTATTCTCCAATTTTATTGCCAATCCTTCAGGAAAAAAGAATATTCGTTATTTCCTTACCATATTCAAAGAATATATTCTCTTGTTGAATTATGATTATAAACATTATTTTAAATATTCCAATAGGAATAAACAAATTTTTTTCACAAAGTAGAATAATTCAATGAAACGTATATTATACCAAATGTTTTATACTTTCTAATTAGCTAATTAATTCTATCACAATAAAGTTCCAAATATTAGGATCAACTTTAGAATATTAGACAAAAGAATATTTTTTTTTTCGAAACAAAAAAAAGTTTTACCAATACTTAATACTGTTTCACCAATATAAAATACGTTTACTAAAATGCAAATCAGTGAAATATCTTTCGTGAAATAGTTAATTAATTCTCCATTAGACAAAACAATTTCATTGTTCACCAGTTCAAGTGTTCGTGTCTCTTGATGATCCAAGCTAATTCCTGTTGGATCTCGCTCGATTTTCTCTTTTTGCTCGTCTCGTCCATCAGCCTCTCCAATTTTCTGCACAAATTTTTGAATTGTCCGCACGCGTGCATCACGAGCGTGGCTATGAAAGTGTCAACGCCTGAATACGGGAGTGCACCGCAGTACGCAGCGATCACCTGGGCCACGTTCGCTACAACTCTGACCGACGTTCGTCTCAAGTCGAACGGATAATAGGCGGGATAAATAGCCAAACGGTCCTGGCTCATCGCGTTCACGTCGTATTTCACTATTTTGAACGACCGAAGAGACACGTACGTGGTTAACATTATCAGACTCAACACGATGCACCAAAAAGACAATCTTTTCGAGAATCTGGCAGAGTTCATCATGGTTGTCCTCTCCTCGTTGGTTTTCGGAGCGTACCAATCGTCGTATAACGATTGAACGATCGGTTGGAGGTCTTCGAACATAAACGAAAATCATAGTTGACAAATTTTTATATGTGCACATTTTATTATCTACATGAAATTGTATTATACGGATTTAATTGGAATTACAATTAAACTTTAACACAAACTTTCAAGCCTTATAACGTTATTATATACAATCTTTCATTTCTGTAATTTCATTATATGAATCATGTAAACAAGACATTATAACAAGAACAATCAAAATAATTTATTTATCAATCAAGTTTTCTTAATATGATAATACTTTTAGTGTTTTTTGTAATTCTTTTATTATCAATCAGAAGAACTTATTGATCAATCAGATATCTTTAATAGTCTGTTTGTAATACCTTTCTTATAATACCATATGACACCTAATTTTATGGCCGCGTTGTACGCTGGGATGTTAGCTAGGGACAACGTTTCCGTGATCCTGATAAGGTCTCGGTCCGACATGAACAAATTCCAGGTCTGCCATATATTAATAAACGTGAGGATAATAATCATAGACGCGAAAGCCCTGAAATCCGCCAGTCGGTCATGCAGTGTCATCGGGTCCGGCCAGATTCCGATCGCGTTCAAGTTGAAAATGTTCCATCCGATTGCCTCCTTCAAATCTATGAAAATATCACAATGGTAATGCAGAGTAACGTTAATTAATCACTTGGAAATCAAAATAAACGATCCACGATATTGTATAAAAATCGAAAGAATCTAGCCTCCTCAAAGTTCATATAATTCCTTAGCATTGAACGTAAAATAAATAAGTTTCATTTACTTCCATTATTCTAACTTCTAGCAATTAATTAACTGCAACATTTTCCCTATAACAAAAACATCCACCATCAAGGATCAATCATTTGAAATAATGTTAAACCAGTTCCATTAAAACGAATCCTTCACACGTTTCCAATATACAAGTTGGTTCACTTGTACGTGACGTATATCTGTTGCAAACTGATCTTTCAATTTTATCAAATTTATTACAAACAAATTTCGTATGCTCATCAACGAAATCACTGATCGCACAATGCGATAGTCACTAATTCCGTACTATTCGATACCAACATTAACACGTTGGCGACGGCGTGCGCCACCGGTGGTTCACACTTAAATGTCACAGCACGTGTACCATCAAATACGTAGTTCGTTAAATTGTTCTGGTAGACAGAACAAATTTCCATGTATGAAAATTAATTTACTTATTGATAATTTCAATAATTTTTAGAATTTCACCGCTGGATGTGCAGAAACGTAAATTCCAGCACCGACGTTAACGTGTTGAAACTTGTAGTCGCGATGTAAATGATTTTCTAAAGCCTCGTGCACAATGTAAACGTTTCGATTAGCATTCCAATGATTTTAATTTAATAAACAGTCACGTTTGCAAGGTGGAAGACCGGAATTTCGATTTGAAACAGGGGAACGGAATACCTCGTTCGTAATCCATTGGCACCACTCGCGCGGAGACTACACGATAAAGTGGCTACCACGAATTTCTCCCTTCTCACAGTCAGAAGGACGCATGCTCGATTATAGTGAGACAGTTCTCCATTCCACCCCCGTAGAAAACGTGACGAGGTCAAGTGGAAGAAGGCTCTGGGCGTAGTTTCGCAATTTACTTCTTCTGCGATGGCAAAAAAACATTTCTAATCGATGGCAACTTCGTCTTACCGCTGTCTTTAACTTCCTCGATTATTTAAGGCGCTTCTTAGTATCCAAAAAAAATTCTTATTCCCCGGTGTTCTTAACCTAATGGACTTATCACTTCGATAAAATGCACCGCGAATAGTCGTGTGGTCTCAGAACTACCGGGGATTATGTGTGCGACGTGTCTTCTAATTAAATTGTTACACGGAATTAAAGGAATTGTAACTTTAAATGAATTAACTTCATCGAGGAATATCTCTAGTTACAAGTGATACGAATATTTTTATAGTATTTCATGAATTTTTCGTTGTAATGAATTTTGGGTATTTGTTGTGGATAAAATTAAATCAATTTGATAGTAATGTTTTTGTAATTAATGAACATAACTTCGAAGATTACAAATAACTCAAAAATTTTAATAGCCTTAAAGAAATGTTAAAATAGTCCAGTGTTTGTCATAGATAAAAATAATGAAATGATTCGTTGATAATTTTCTTCTACTCGACAAACTCGCACTCGATTACTTTCGACGAAATCAGATGATGGATGTCATATAAAATAATATATTTCATTCGTTAGGATCATACATAACACGCAGTACAAAATAAATAACTTCTATCTTTAAGTATTCATTTTCGTTTCGTGAAGCAGGGGGATTGGTCAAGAGTTAAAAGTCTCACGATTACTGTAAAAACGAAAGAACACACGTTTTATTACTAGTTTGCACGTACATTCGATGCATCTCGAGAAATCCGAGCTCTCCCCGCGACGAAAATGGGAACGAAATAAATATCTATCTGTTGCGACCAGACTGTGGATCTTCATGGCTGTTGAGATACTTGAGAGCGTAAACTTGCACGAAATGCATAGAAAACGAACAAATATATAAACTATCCATAGTGTAGAGCATTCGGGAACGTTTGTTATGAGAAACTATTCTTAGTAAGAATTCCATTTATCTAATTATATTCGTAAAAATGTGAATTTTTACATACTGTTCTTAAAAATTTGAATTTTTTTCAGTGTATGCTTGAATTATATTTCTGAAAATCTGAATTTTGCAAATTATATGCTTAAAAATTTGAACTTTTTAAAGTATACTCTTAAAAATCTAAATTTTTTTAAATTACATTTATGAAAATGTAAATTTGCATAAGAATCCCCAGTCCAGTTTTGACGTATGTTCGAGTCGAAACCCCGCGAAAAATGAATCCAAAACCATCTTACAATTATGTTCAGCGGGCGCGAGAGTCGACGGGATCGAACATTCGCGTCGAACCCGGCGATCGAGTGAAAGTGAAGACCCAAGGGAAACTCAAATTTGACCCAAATCTCACGGTTAGAGTCGTACGTCGAACACGCGCATACAAAGTTCCTCGAGTCCCAGAAAAATTCAGTTTAATTCGGAAAATTTGTTAACTACTTTGAAAGTAAAAACAAAACTTGTAATTAGGAAAAAATATGAAAATTGTAATTATTCTATTATTACGTTTTGTTAACAAAATTTGTTTATTACTTTGAAAGTAAAAACAAAATGAATAATCGGAAACGTATTAATTGTTACATCATTATATTCATTAAAGATATTGGTTAATGAATCTCATTAGAATTGAAAGGCAAGGGGATCAACTAAATTGATCCTGCCTCAACTAAAATGACGATGTAACGGTAATAATTATCATAATCTCCTGGATCTCGAAACGTTCGGTCCACCGTCTAAAATGGATAAGGTTAAATTCAAGTTACCCAGCTCTTGCCAACGGAAGGATCTTCGTATTGATCGCCAATCTGGATTCTAAATCTTATTCTCTAATCTCTTAAGATTAATTGCTTAGGCATGACATTAAATAGAGTGGCAGGTATGTACACTTTTGGCTCGAGACCGGTTTGCAGTCTCTTCTCCGAGAATCTGCTTGAAAATGAAAATGACAGTAAATGGAATTTATGGTCCGATTGATGCCTGAAACGTCACTCTTAATTCTACGCGTCTCGAGGAATCGAGAGATACAAATTAGAAATTAATGTTCGAAAATTGGAACAACTTACGAATCGGATTATGAAAACGAAAGCGAAAAAGTAATGAGCTAGAAGTAAACACAAGAAAAATAGAAAAAATAAATGAATATTCAAATGAGAATTTCGAAGTGCAGATGTGGCCGTAAATTCGTCCATTTTCTCTCATCTTCTTTTTCCGCTGTTTCCTTAGCTTCTTCGACTTAGGCTAAATTACTCTCGTCACTTTCGGGAATTCCTCGAATTTCGATCCCTTCGGACGCACACAACCATCCATAATTATCCAAATGATATACATTACATCAATAAATTACAACTGCACACAGTAACCATCAATAGTAGTTGCAGAAAAATAATCACCATGTTAATAACATCAGCAAAAAGACATCTAACCATCGTTACACAAAATTTCAACATTTCATTACGCCAAGGACAAATAAAGAGTCAACCCCATTCGAATAATTACGGATAGCGTAAAGTTCAACAGTCCCTAATAAAAAAATTAGTGCCATCTTTGAGAATCTACCAATACCTGTTCATTTCCTCATATCAATTTGTCATAACTCATGCTTAATTCCTTTGCTGGCTCTTGACACATTACAAAGACACATTACAATTACCAATTAACAATTTAGCATCACAGTTCTCGCGTTTTACTATTATCTAATTACTCGGGTTACTAAATATTCTCAATCGATATCAGTTAAGGTGGCCTTAATCTTTCGGTCGTTGACTATAAAGCGAATGCAGTCCTCAAGATGACGATTGCGCACGCTTGCGAAGGTGATCAGATATTCGTTCGGAATCCCATAACGCGATCCGGTGGTCCGCTTTCACCGGGCCCGCAGCTACGCAGATTTATTATCAGCGTCCGGCTTTCCACGATCGCGCCGTTTTTCGTGCGGGAATCCCGGTGGGAACAGTGGGATTTAGAAGAACACGTTGCCAGGCCTGGCTTGGGGGCACAGAAAGCTGGAACAATCGTGTCTCCTCACCGCGTCCATCACTTCCTGAAAATGACTGGACACCTGGACAGCGGCACCCGGCTGGATCCTAAAAAAGGTATGCAAAAGACAGACGATTAATGGCAGATAGAGATTCGTTTAGAAAGCTCTACCGCGAGCTGACAATTTGCCGGGGGTCATGGCGGGCTGATATAATTGATAGCGAGTAGAATAAGGGGATATTCGTCTGTAATTGGCGGCGGGACCTTCTGAGCTTGTTAATAAGTCGCGCCGCAGGAAAAGACAGACCTGTCGATCGGATCGAATCGAGAGATTACGGGGAGAACGATGTTTCAAATGAGTCACATTTGTCGGGATCGATGCACGAGAGATCGTGGATGTGTTTAGTGGTCTAATGGGAAGACCTTGGGCGATGATCGGGTGTCGATCTGACTGCTAGTGCTTCAAAGTTGGTTAGAAACGTTTTCACTCGGGATTTTCGGAATCTGATCGTGGAGGACTTGTTTGATTTCGATCACAAATAAGGACATTTACGGGAAACATTCTTTCTTAACAAAAATGAATATTTTTATAGACACTGCTATTACTTCTGTCAACGAATAGGTGGTTATTACCATACTGATTTTATACCGGTAGTATCGCGACTGGTTCGCTGGTTTGCATTTTATTGATATGGAAATATGTGCTTTCATATGATGGAACTAAATGGTTAACTGAAGATTGTTGCGGCTTTGTTCAGTTTCTATAAGTAACTAGGATATCGGCGATGATCGCAATGTTCTAAAGCGTTTACTTAGGATAAATACGATAAATTAACTCGCGTTGCGTTGGATGCTGGTCGGGAATTTTAACGAAGGAATGAGATGTCTGTTGAGAAGCGAAGATTTGTAGTATCTCATAGATTCAACAAAATCCGGTTCAGTTAACGTATCACCGAGAAAATTGATTCTCTTTCAAAATTTTGTAGAAAAAATTTACTTCCATTAATGTGGTAGTTAGAGTATGAAAAAGTTTGAGGCCTTGGATGCCGTGTTTTCATTAGCCTGTTGTACAATCGCGATCTTCGAAGTCGAAAGGTTTTGTCGGGGGCCACGAGAAAAATCGAAGAGGCACGATGGCCAGACGGAACCGTAGCGAGGAACAGATAACTTTCTTCCAGCTTTCGCCGGCGACGTCCTACTGACTGATTCGACTTTTACCTCTTAGCACAGTTTCACTCTGTGCATGCGGCGCGCGCCGCGTCACGCACGGGACGCGCGCGTGTTAGGAAAAGCCCGCGGACGTCCTTTGAAAATCAAAGAAAGACGAGTCTCTCATCCGTTGCATTCTTAACGCTTTAACTACCGCAAGCCTATTAATCGGTTTTCAGATTCCGAATATTTAACAACTGATAACCTATTAAAATCAGCTGCTTTAACGCTAAAACTGCCGGGCAGTTAAATTGTCTGTTTGACAGCTCCTCTATAGAAACTCCAAGGATGTATCTATTCAGACTTTAATTGAGTTTCAATTCAGTTTACGCATAGGTAAATTAATTTCTCTAATGATTTCTTAGAGAAGCATGTGTTATCTTTTTAATAATTTCAAAACGAAGAAATCAGAAGTGGATCATTTCGACCCGTCTGGTAGTTTTAGTGTTAAAACAAACGAAATTAATTAAAACAAAGCAACGTGATGAGATTTTGGCATACTTTGATTTTAAAGATATAGAGCTTTACAAGTAGACACGTACACAAGTGTTAAATAAAGTGTTAACACTGGAACTACCGAGTGTTTAATATGATTAATATGTAATATTAATATGTAATATTAACATTTTATAAAAATTGATTTTTCTCGGTTTCTTCGTGTATTCATTATGGTATTCAAGTGAAACTACTTATTTTCAAATGCATTTCGTGTAATAGACACTTGTAGGGCATCAATGACAGAGAAATCAGAAAGTTGGAATCCGTCATATTGACGAGTGCGATAGTTCCAATGTTAACACTGGAACTACCGAGTAACTGCAGAGATTCGTTTCCAATTTGTTGGCAAATTACATTTTTACAGAGTCAATTCCTGGCAGACTGATAGCTTTATGCCTTTATGTTTTTATAACTTCATTAATTTTAAGTTCGGTAGTTCCAACGTTAATTGTAACTTTTCTTCCGCTTTCTTTCTACTATGGAATATTATAATATAATTTATAAAACTCATCTTGAGAAGAATACGCTGCAACATATTCTTCTTCGAAAATGGAAATGTTCGTGGATCTGTAGGAAAAAGTGAGAGCCAGTATACAAAAGATAAAAGAATTAATTTTATGCGGCCCCATTCTGAGATAACTTGTGAGTGATTAATTATGTAGCTGACTATTAATTTGTATCTTTCCCTTTCTGCATACTAATGTTAGAAACTACATTTCCTTCAGCTTCGCCACGTTCAGAAAAGTGAAACAGAAATATTTTCGTTATCTTAATTAGCAGATTTCGCGAGAGCAACGATGATAGTAATTTGCATGCTTCCACAGAAACTGAAAATGTAATAATCATGTAGTAATATTATATCTTTCTATTATTCAATGGTTTTTCTTTTCCTATATCCTTTATAACGGAGGACTCATTAAGACTGCGAAACCGAATCTTTCTACGTATTTCCAAACTTTAAAAGACAGATGCAACAAGATGGTCGTCCGAAGTGCACAAGGGAAATTCGTATCACCAAATTCGGTGGCGTGCGTTCTTCCTGAGCTCGATCGTTTCCCGCGAAAACGAAAGCCCATTGTCTGTCCAGCGAACATAGTCAGCTGCACAATCGTATGCTAACCGGGGCAACATTATTATATCATCGGCGTGGAACAACGAGACTTCCTTCTATTTTGTAAAGCGCGACCGGGTTATTCTTTTTACGGAGAAAAATTCTCAGACCTCGATTAACCGAGTCGCTACTTTCCAGATTCATGATTACTCACGAGCCTGATCGTTCGAATATTCTTGGGTTTCATCTCGATATTGATGTAATTAGAATTTAAAATTATGCTTCGAACATTCTCGAGTCGCCATTTATGTGAATCATTAGTCACCTAATTAAATCGTATAATCGAGGTTCTGTTATATCGTTATTAATAACATCATTAAAATAGATTATAGTATATTAAATTATAATATAATAAATCATAAATATAGGTACTATTCAATTATAATTATATTACATTACTACATAAAAGATTGAAGCTACTCACAGGCCCAGCAAAGCCGCCATTTTCTTCTCCATCATAATAACCGCATCAGCGCCCCTTTGTACCATGGCGTCGCAGAATATTCTTTTCGCGCACGGCGTATTCGTCCAATCCCCATCGATATGCGCGACCTCGGCCACTTCCGCGTTCTCCAAGTTCTGAAGAGCATCCTCAAGCTCCTGATCACCCTCCACACTCCTCCTTCGCCTCTCGTTTCTGCCATCCACAGAATTCTTCTTCCCTTCCGTATCATCTAAAGCTCCAGCCGAACTATCCAAATCATTCCCTTTAGAAGCTTCAGCCCCTAATCGATCGTCAAACAGTTTCAAAGGCCTGGAACCATCCTCGACTATCAAAATCGACGCATCTTCCTCCTTTTCCTTGCCATAGCTCTCAGCCGCCGTCTTCTTCCTCGGAATAAGAAGTTCAGTAACATCGATGCTGTCTTCTTTAGCCGGTAGATCGATCTCCACAATCTCGCTGATGGAATCCGCGCCTTTCCTCTGGAACCTCTTGCTCCTTACTAGGTTCCTGAAGTCCCCATCCGCCTGGAAAATGTCCAAGTAGTCCGAACTCCTCTTGCTTCTGCTCACCACAGACCCTGATCCCGTTTCCTTTTCCTTCTGTTGGTTCTCTGTCTTCTGATCCTCTTCGAGGATCACCAGGACACCATTCTCTTTACTCGAGTTATCATTATCATTCCTAACGTCGCTGGAATGTATATTCCTCGGGAGATTCTCAAGGAAATACACCGGCCCTCCGATGAACTTTCCATTGTTCCTCTGAGAAGACTCAGAATCTTGCTCGCCGAAAGGACGATCAGCATCCAGAGCTCTCTGGTACTCTATCTCGCTACCCATCACGCCGTTCGATCGTTTTAAAACGTCGACGTCTAGGTATCTGCCAACTGCCACTGCTCCTATGCCCAAAGCAGCTCCGGATGCAACTAGTCCTAATGCTGGAATCAAGATACTGCTGCCGGAAGCAACGGTGCCAATCTTTTCTTGAGCCTCCTTTCCCTTGGATAGGCCTAGGTTCTGCGATATCTTGTGTGTAGCTTCTACTAAGGGATCGATCACTGGCCGCGTGAACTGTGACACCTTCTCGACGCCGTTCGAGAACTGGCTCTTCAGGTTCTCGGAGATCTTGACCCAGAATGGCGCGTCGTTCGGGCGTTTCAGCCCGTAAAAGTGTTGGTTCGGGTAGTAGTTCTTGGTCGTGTAAGTGTCCACGATGTTCTTATCATTCAAAACGTACTTCTTCTTCTGCTTTTGCTCCGTGAACGAGTACTGGTTCTCAGGAAAGTTGTCTGGACGCTTCTTCTCGTTCTTCAGGATCTTCGCCGGTTGCACACCCAATTCTGGGTGAGCGTATTGGAGGACAGGTGCTCTGGCACCTGGTTTCAAGGCCACCGGGGCGATTTTTTGGCTTTCCGGCGTGCTGTACAACTGGGAGACAGGGTACACTGCCACTCCGTCGGGATGGAGCATCCTTTTGTGACCGCTCGCGCGGTAGTTATCGTTTCTTGGCTCGTACACCTCTGCCTTCAGGGCTTCGTTCTTGTAGTTCTTCGGGTCCCATTCGAAGAACACGTTCTTTCCTTCCTCTTCGATGTCTTTTCCGTACCTGTTGGAAGAAGTGACGGAGAATTGTTGCTTGGGATTTGATAGAAGTAATATTTCTTTTGGAAGAAAACTTCGAGCAGGTTCTTCTCTAATTAAATTTGGACTCGGACGAAATTGAAATCCTCTTTCGCGTACTAGTGTTCGTGGGTATCTACTCGTTCAGCCAATGAACGCGAAGAACGATCATTCAAGTGCAACGATTAAATCGACTGTAAAATCTCTTTTCTAGTCGTCAACCGTGGTTAATTTAGAATTATTATCCAGATAATTACAATGAGTTCTAATTAACAACTTATAACGCTAACTTACAATCGACTTAAAAACTGCATTTTCATCATTAACCTCAACTTCTAGTCTTACAATATGTTAGACCCGTGACAAAACCGATTAATCTTTGAAGCAAACGTAACCCCAGAATTCCGCTTACTTCCTTAGTAAACAATCCCTCAAAACATTACAGCATAAATCATACAATAAACCAAGAAATCATAAGTCAAACGGTCAACACGCAAGATTACATCTTGCCCAAATCTGCAACCACGTACCTCTTATTCACGTTCCTGAAGAACCTCTCGAAGCCTTGCTTCTCCCCAGTTTCCTGATAGTAGCTCACAGACGGATCCAGCATGTCAGCGTTGGCTCCTTCGTGTATCAATTTATTATTGATCACTCTAGCGTTGCGCCAGGTCTGAATCTTATCGATAGGCTCATCGGGGACCCTCTTCCCATGGATAACAGGTGTTCCATCCCTGTCGATGGTCATGGGAGTTCTCTTAGGCCCCGACTTCACGTTGATCTCCGAGCGAACGATCACTTCCGGCGGCACATTCTTCGCATCCCTGTTCTTCGACAGATTGGCCCCTATATTGGTCCTCGTTGAGCGGATTTGATGAGGCAGGAAGGTGTAACGAGTCATTTCCTCCGACTGATCAGGGACAGGAAGATTCCTCTGTGATCTATCCTGGAAATGTCGCAGCAGGAGCAACCCGCTGGTCGGAAACGCGGGATCGAACCTCGCGTAGCTGGTTCTTTCCTCCAAATTGCTCTTCATGTCGCTGGGAAGAGGTTTCCAGCTCTGGTACTCTTCTGTGGTGGATTCCTCTAAGCGTACAGCTCTGCCATCCGTTCCCAAAGGTGTCCAGTTGCCATAATCGATGTTCTTCTCGCTAACCGTTTGTTGCTCCCTCTCTGTCGCACTTGTTTTCAATTCTCTCAGACTGTTCTCTGCTTTCGCCGCGCCTTTTTGGTTATCGGAGTCCGACAATTTGGCTCTCAGCTGCTGTATCTGAGCTTCTTCCAGTTTCCTCACTTCTTCTTTGCTCTTTGTTTCGTTTTTCACTAGCTTGAAAGCTTGCAGAGGGATGGAAGTCTTGTTCTTCTCTTCGAGATCGACTCTCTGCGTCTCTTCAAGCTTGTCCTCGGGTATCGACTTGTCCCTTCGTTTGACGATCAGAGTCGCCAAACTTCCTTCGCTGGTCCGCACTTGCAATTCCTCCGTCTCGCCTGGTAAGCTCCTCGACACCTTCAGCATGGTTCGCGCGTAGCTGGGCTTCGGCACCTCCGACGCGGCTGACGCCATGACGGCTGAGATGGTCAGGCATAGGAGAAGCGTTACCTGGAACACGAGGAGGCGGGATATTGATTTGTGATTCGTTTCACGATTATTATGAGCTGAGTAGGGGTTTCATAAGTTTCTAAGGAAAAAATTGAATGCTTAAAATTATTTTATAGAGGAAAATATAAATCTTCTGTCGGATTCCTTGTAAACTGAAAACCACTGATATGTACTACTTTATAAAAATTTCACTCTCAGCTATGAATCTAAAAATATGTAATAAACATAAACATTATATATTCGAGTAAACTAACATTTAATATTCAACATGTATTTAATATTTCATTCTGTAATAGTTTAACGAAATACTGAATCAGTAAAACAAATAGAAGATAAAGGACATTGTTCTTTAACCTTTCTTATTTAATACTAAGGTCCATTCCTTATCAAGCTTAAATTTCTTTCTGTCGCGGAATTAATGATTGAATAATTAACAATAAAACAGCAGCTGGCACCGTTAAGCTCATCTAGGAAGAGCGCGTAGTGCGGGCACTAATTACAAACTCGTTTTATGTAACGACTAATGTGTTACGCGGCTGCACCTCGTTGGAAACAAGCCTACCGGAAGTCCATTGTGCCTTCCTCGATCCCGGGCAAACGTAACGCGCGCGCGAAGGTGCATCGTGAACAGCGTGCAAGTAAATACCTGTCTTACGCGTGACCCACTTCCGATCCACGCGGTGCTTCTGTTGAATTTCAACATCGGAAACTGATGTTTCGACTCGATTCGAGCTGAACGACCGAAAAACGATACACATTAACCTCTCAGTGTATTACTTACTTTCGATACTAAGTTCGTATACCATTTCATCCTCGACAATTTGGAAGAAACGCAAAAAACTGTTACATTCCATTGTAACTGCAAATTTATTTTGAAGAGAAAACATTGGTAATAGTGAAATAACTTTTTGATTTTTGATTTGTGTACACTGAACAACACTGATGCTTATTAACACTAGGTTTACGGGCATTTATTGTACACTTCATTTTATTATTCCTAAAAGAATTGATGCTCGTTTATTTAGATTGTGGAAACTGGCGATTTGATAGTAGGTAATTAGGGTACATATCAGTGTGATCGCATCAATCAAAATCGGCGTAAACATTTACAAAATAATATTTCTAAAATCCAATATTCGTCAATTTGGCGCGTTCCGTAAACCTTAAATTAATTTAGGAATCTTCATCGTATATGGCAATAATGCATATAATATAACATTATTTAATTGAATTGCGTTATTAATACCACACATTTATCTTGCCAAACGTCATCAAGTTAGATAGCATTATTTGTAATATAGAAATATTTTCAAATAATTATCGTTCAGTTGAGAATACAAGTTCTACGCACTGAGATAATTTCTTACAGACTAGGTTAATATTGCGTACTCTGATCGTATTCAAATGATCTCTTTCCACGCATCAATTATCGCGGAAACAGGCCGGACCGTAATGCGTTAGCACAATCGGGACGGCTGATATGAATTCGAGTCTTTTCAAATATAATAACTTTCAAACAACAGGCCGTTACAAGTCTAATGTTCCCAAAGAGATGTTCCAATTTTTGTCTTAGTTTTAACATTAGAAATTCGCGGCAGTCGGCTTACGATTCTTTTCGTTCTCACCGGCAACGAGTATCAGAAAAGCGACAAATTCGATGGTCGCGAATGTGTTAACGCGTTCAAACTTTACTGAGCTACAAAAATATTCAATGTTCAGCTGCGAAAAATCTAAATACTGAGAATGATGGTGCGTAATAATTAAAAAAAATTAAGGTTACATAGAATTAAAGCTCCGAGGATTAAAGTGCATAGTAATTTCAAAAAATTAAAATCATATAGAATTAAATGCTTGATAATGGGGCTGATATAAATTTGAATGTTATAGGACTCGTGTAATTGTCCATCATGATAAAAATGAATGCCATAGCATCCACGTCCGCGAACATGTTAAGTAGGATACCGGGCACGATCCGTCGAAGTATGGCGGACGTTGCGTCGATCCTCGGTCGCCGGCCGGCCGGGCTTTCGAGGCCATTAAAAAAAAGTGCAATCGCGCGCACTTTCTACGCGAGTCGTTACATCGAACGGAAAAGGGAAGGGTCCGCGAACTTGCGCCTTATCAAGTCACTGAACTTTCTCCCGTGTCGTTCCCTTTTATCCTGCCTCGAAAGACGTTCTATAAACGGAGCCGCGCCGCGAATTCCGCAACAAGTTCTGTCTTTGATTCGAAGTCAGTCGACGGGAATGGGAGCTCGAGCAAAATCTCTGGGATCGTTCGCGCTTATGTGGAAATATCTTTTAACCTGGTTCATTATTTTCCTTCGTAATTGTGGGTAATTAATCAAGAATTTTTCGGTCATCGGAACCCATAATGCGTGCAAACACGATACACGTCAATTTGGACGTTAAAGTAGCATTAGCGAGGCGATCGATGCAAGAATTTAATCGGGGAACAAAAATGAACAGATTTATTATCCGAAACATTCGTTTGCGTTGTGAACGATGGTATATTTTGTATTCGTGACAAATGGATGAATAAATGAAGAGTAAAGATTATATAAAATGAAAAAGAAGAAGTGATAAAATGAAGATCAGAAATAAAATATTAGTTACTTGATAGGAAACTTTTTAATAGGATTGCGATCGCAAAGATAAACGTTTGATTCGGCCGTTTAGGGTAATCGAATGAAAATTCACAGCTGATAGCATTTTTTTTATTTGTGGAACAGGAATGAGTACGTATATGAAGAGTAATTAATAGAGAAATATTGATTGAAGATCGAAAACAGGGAATTATTTATCTGACAGGAATTTTTTGAACCAGATTTCGATCGCGAAGATAGAGTTTCCTGCCGGAACGTTTTCTCGCGAAGAGGGATAATTGAAGAAGGATTTACGGCTGCTAATGAGAAAAGTTAGCCGGAACTGAGGCGACAGAAATCGATGCATTGTAACGGGGGGAATTGAGGGAGCCGCTCGATCACGCGAAGGTAATCGCGGCGAGAGAAATTTAATAGCTCGCTGAAATTGCCGACATTCTTTCTCGAGATTAGAAAATAGCGATGCAGTAACCGACCGGTCTCCGTATACTTTCTATTATTAAGTCGAGGTTTTATTTATCGCGATGGAATCAACATTGACGTCCTCCGGATTCCTTCGTCCCATCGCGCTTCCGTCTTAATAGAAGCCATTATTCCCTCCTTTCCTGGACAATAATATCTACCGATTAATATATTAATAATATTCATCAGTGTACGATCTTCGAAGCATTTTCACCTACTGACTCAGTTATTAGAATGTCCCAACAAATATTGTATAGTAAACTATAGTAATTATGTGTAGTAATATCATTAACACGTTGACTGCCACGATAGTCACCGATGACCGCAGCTTCCAAATTGCTGAAAAACAGCTATAATAAAAAGCTTGATTTCAAATAAAAATATTTAGTAACATAAGTAGCTAGATCATAGCGTAATATGACTACTGTGATACTAAACCATTAATAATTATTTTCAATATCATCTGCCTTTGTTATTAAAGAATAAGTAGTACTATTCAAAATGCTAGACATTTTCGTGGCAGTCAACGTGTTAAACTACAAAACTGAAGTTATTTCGGTCGTCATTTTGATTTCCGGTCACTTAATAACGATTCGAATAAAATGTCATGCTAAAATATTTTTTAATAAATTAATCAAATATCAGTTATATACATATCTATAGATGTTCATTTGTAGGTTGTTAAGGACAATATATTTTGGATTAAAAAACATTTATCTTAATTTTTTACTGGATGACTGAGTAATTACGAGTCAGCTATAAAAGATTGAACATTGTATCGCGGGTCTCTCTATTAACCAGATCGACGAGGCTCAAAGTCATCAGAAGAATGCCTCCTCCGCAGAAAAAGTCGCGTGGCGTCCGGTTTTCCTCGATTTCGCTGATTCGCGGGAACAACTGCGACCAGAAAAGAAAGGAACAAAGGAAAAAAAAACAGAACGAAATGGAAGAATAACTTTCGAACAACCGAGGAATGGAACGAACGTAGAGCCGGTTCTAGAAGTAGCATACTATATAGTTGCAGGGCTGCAGCCCCTCCAGAATAGAAAAGAAAAATTTCTGTTTTAGTTATGGATTTGCATGCATTCAATTATAATTTGTCATTTCTTGCGCTATATACTGTGTGATTCTAGTTTGACACTTGTTCGAATCACTTACCATTACTAACTTACTATAAAACTAAAAAATTCCATGCTCTTTCTGTATCTAAATTTACTACAGACTATATGAATTAATAACGGGAACAATTATATTTCGTTTGAACTCGAAAAAATCGAATGACATTTGTAGAACTATATTACTATTACTATTATTACTATTATTATTACTATTATTAATACTATTATTATTAATATCTCATTTCATAAAAATAAAGGTAGCCAGTACAATACACAAGTACCCAAAAATTTTAAATAATTCTGCAGCCCCATCGTCATAAATTCTCGGGAGCCACCGCCAGACGAGAGAACAAAAGAAAAAGAAAGAGAGAAACAGGACCGAAACAAACTTGCATGGGCAGACTGGACCGTCGACAAGTGAAATGGAACGACATGCTTTCCCCGGGCACGTTTTGCCCCGCGCGATTCCACGCTCGGCACGTCTCTATGGCCCCAGCACGCGTCCGCCACGGGACGATCCACTTTTTCCGATCCGGTGACTTTCGATCGGCGCGATCGCCCGCGCGACAAGAAACTCTTGCCGTGTTCTCTCTTCGTTTGCGTATCTGTTGACCTTAGTAGGAGGTTTGACCTCCCGAAAATTCTTACCCTTTTGCTCTTTCTCTCTCTTTCTCCTGATGAACTCTTAGCGATTCGAAGGATAACAGAGTAGAACGGTAAGAAGAACGCGGGTTTATCGGTGGAGAAGGATCTGGGCACGGTGAACTTTAAGCTTCTTGAGTTATTGACTCGATTTAACCCATCCGAGAGCATAGTGTCTTCTGACCCTTTGCACTCGATCGTTTGTCACTGGAAATATTCAACCTTTTCTAATGAAATATACATGACACTGTAAAACAAGGGGAAGATCAAGAAACAAAGCTAGTTTATTTCAATGTTCTAAATATTGATACTTTATACAAAGTTTAATATCAAATTCACTTTATAATTTCACTGTACCGGAACTCCTATGCGGTTGAAACAATTCTGAGTAAAGTTCTTAACAGTTTTCTTAATAAAACTGAAACTAATCTAATTTTCCCTGTCGGATAAAGTGTTAAAAATCATGCCTAAAAGTTGAAACTTCTTTTGGATTTACATTGTATATTTGGAAAAAGTATTTGTTGTCATATAAAAACATATTTTGAGGTTTAAACTTTACACGTCGTTGACTGTACACACTTGGTGTGTAGTTATTAGACAATAGATATTGAATTTTAGAGGAATTATATGGTAACAGTTTAATTCGATCGATGCGATTGTACATATCGCCATTCTTTGTTGCCGAAGCTCCAATTTCTATACGAACGAACATCTAGATTTCTAGGAACAATAGAATAAAATGTACAATAAACCTCCGCAAATCTAGTGTTAATAATTCCACAGAAACATGTGTATCTTGAACGAATGAAAAATATGATGTGAAGTAACCGTGAAAAGTATGCAAAGAGCTGAATCTTAATAAGACACAAATTATGTGTTTAGCACACAATTAAATTATAAAACGTGTAATAATTAGCAATGAAAGTAAAGTAATTCAACGATTTAATCATAAAATATATTACACTGATTTCATATATCATTAAATTTCAGTTTGACATAATTCTCGACGTACTTAACTATATGGAAACAGCGTTATAATAATATAGTCCATTAAGGAATATAAATTATACCTATATCAATTCTTGTTTATCATAGATTAAACACGCGAAGAATACTTTCGATAATCACCAGGAAGATTGTAGAAAATATTTTTCCCTGGTGGACGTTATGTTAGCGTCTCGTTAGCAGTAAGATTCATTTCCGGTAATCTTAATTAGACTGTCACGGAGTCCAGCGGTGAATCTTAGCGGGAATTTGACAGAAGCGGCGGGCAAAAATCGCGAAACAGGGACGAGGAGGCATAGTTAATCGCCGCGGAATTAACGTCCGCGAACTTTCTGGAGCGGAAATACAGTGTGACACGGAACGGGGCCAAACCGTTGTGCACTTCCTCCAACGAAACGCACGTTAATCGCGCGCCGTTCATTAGTCCCAGCGACGCTGCAATTTTCCATGTCCCCATAAGCTCGATAATTCACGAATCACCCCCGATTTCACGGTCCAACGGCTGGTTTAGAGAACCGCGAACGATTTCACGAGGATTTAAACATATCTTCGCCGATACGAGACCAAGCCAGGTTTTTCGTTATCGAATTAATTAGTTTCAATGTCGAGTTAAATATTTCTTACACTTCATTTGTATTTAGCTTGCGTTTAGTGTACTTTACATTTCATTTTTTAATGAGTCGACATTTTTCAAACAGCTTCGAAATCCTTTCTGAGCTGGGTTTTCTTGAACAGTTCGGAAATTTGCATTTGAAATTTTTAGGACGCAAATTTCTTTAATGGCTTTAGAATTTTCATCTGTAATTCTGTTCAGCTGAGGTTTATAAAACAGGTCTGAAATTTGTTAATCTTTTTCAGCTGAGTTCTCTGTTTTTTACTCTTTTCAATTTTAGAATGCGTCATGCTCAAGTGATTTAACGTTCCTTCGAGAACATTTGAATCTGTCCATATGACGTGACATTTTAACTGTAAATATTAAACAGTAAGGAAACATGCAAGTTTGAAGAGGTTTATAGAATCATGCGCGTTGTTTTTTGGGACACTGTAACGGCTGCATCGATAGATTCTAAATTATGAATGATTCATCGATGAAGAAGGCGATTCCTTTCAAGAGGAGCAGGTCGATCGCAGGTAAAAGAGGAACAGGCGAACACAACCAATCGTGCATCATCGATGCAATCACAGGACTTTCTTCCATCCCACGCTACCTTTTCTTTTTCGTACCTGCAGTGATTCATCCGCGTCGTAAAGAACCGTATATTCCGATACAGGAACAATTCAATTAGCCTATACGATAATTACCTCCCCGCCTCACAATTTTCCTAACAACTGCACTCACCAGCTTTATTGGCGATTATTCGCCACAATAGAGTCATTAGTTTCGACGAAATATCTCTTCGCTTCTACTTAACAACGAGATCCAAGATTTTTCAATCAATTTTCTTATATTCAACGATTCATACTCTATTCATAATTACTAGAAAAATCACACAAAAGATCGTCATAATAAAAGATCAATTTCTTTTCGTTACGAAGACAGATGCAATATTCTAAGACTTCAATTATCCGATTTAATTGGGTGACCAACAATTTACACGCGTGTAGATTCCAGAATAAATTATTCGAAAATCTAAACGTTCACCTAAATCTGAGAAATTTCAGTTCTAGATATCAATTTAATTAACTCTTACGTGAACAAACAAAATCCCACTGTATACACTCTTCAAAAAAAGAACGTCTCCTTTCACACACGCAAAAACTGCCACATTACCACTTAAATAATTCTAATATCAATTAAAATCCTACTGCACACAGTTTTTCCAAAAAACATATCTCTTTTCACGCACACACATACACACACAGGAAACCTACCTTAAATTTGTCCATTTTGTTGTTCCAGTCCTCTTGCTCCTTTCCCGATGCACGCAGTCCTCCAGCCGAAGAGATCACGGAAGCGGAGAGAAGCTGTGACGAGAAGATCGCGAGAGGAAAAAAAAATGAAGGCGAGTGCACACGGATGATCGAGGCGCGGTTCTCTCGGGTCCGCGTGACACGCGGCGCGCGGCGATCTTACGAATAAATCCCGCGGAACGATCGATCGGTGTGTCGGCGCCGGTTGTCGTTCGCCGTTTGCGGAGACGGAGAGAATCGTAGTCGGCCCGCGGCACGCAGGAAGGAAGGAAGGAAAAGAAACGCGAGGAGAGCAGAGAGAACGACGGAGAGAAAGAGAGGAATAGAGAGAGAGAGAGAGAGAAAAAAAGAGAGAAAGAGACAGAGGAGGCCCGCTCCTACGCACCTGTTGACTCCCGGAATATCTTCGCGAGACTGACGAAGGCGCTCAGTCAGCGGCTCCTCGTGTCTCCGACGAAGGACCGACACTTCTCACCGACCTACTTCCCGCGTTCGCCTTCGCCTTCTTCCGTCGCCGACGACGATCTGTTAGGGAACGTTTTTTCCCGAAATTCGATCCACGAGGATCGGCGATTTGAATTTTCGTAGAGCGGAATGCAGCGCTACCCCTTGGCGAGTGATTTAACGGTAGGCAACTAGGAAATGATTTTGAAGAATTGCTTGAATTTCAAGTGATATATCTTTTAACTCTTTGCACTCGAAAGTTTTTCACTAGAAAGATTCAACATTTTCTGATGAGATACAGATGACGTTATTTGAAACTAATTTAATAATAATTCAAAGATAAATTAAGCACCAAAGGTATTTTATTTGACTATACCACATAGCAATACAAAGTTTAATTTAAAATACTAAATATTCAACTTCATAGTTTTGCTGTACTAAATCAAGTGGTGACTGAGACTCACCTCTCGAGTTCAAAGAGTTAATAGAAATAATTTGTTAATTAAAGATCGATATTGTGACTACGTTTTTCGGTGAAACCTTGTTTCAATTTGAAGTGGCGTAATTTTGCGCGGAAGTTTTTTAATCGAGGATTGAAAGGGTCACTAAATCTTCTTTGAAAAGTTGCCCAAATTTGAAGTGTAACTTTATATAAGAAAATTTTGGAATTGCAGATTGAAAAGGTCATTATATTTTTGTTGAAAAGTTAGTTAAATTTAAAATGGTGCAAGTTTATCTACAAAATAGTTTTAAATTAATGATTGAAAGGAACACTTTTCGTTGGAAAATTCTAAGAACTTCATTGAAAGAATATGTACGACAGTCAATTGAGATTCATTCTAATGGTATCTGAAAGTAGAGTTTTCTTTTGATAACAGAAATGGATCATATATGTACCTGTTGGAATTTAATAGTTGCTAATAACCGATGGACCCCGTATCGATGATCGAAATCGACTAATCGCATAGCTGGATAACTAAAGCTTGTTAGCTATAACAATTTAACGATCATATAATTATAGAAACTATTGTAATGCACCGCCTACTGAAAAACTTTAACAACCGTGGTTGGTTGATCACCGTCATCACACCGAACAATTTACAAATTCCTGGCGGTTCGAACCGAATTAACCCACGAAATTCTCCATTTCAACTCATTCCATCAAAATGAAATCAATAAGTATAAATTTACCTTGTACGAAAAAATTCTATTCTCTTCTTTTGACTTATTTTCTCATGTTCTTGCTGATCTTCGTTGTCCATAACTCTAATTTTTATGCAAACGCAGAAAATTTGGAAATGCAGAGTTGCACAAATTCCACATGGTATAATAATACACGAAATATCTAAATCGTAGTACTTTTCACAATGTTTGTTATAAAAAATCATTTTCTATCGTGAATCTAATTTTGCAACGAATATGTATTACCATACTAGATTATACATTAATCACAAATATAATTGTCGCTGTTTTAATACACACGTTGAAATATTTATATCAATAAAATACTTCGTTTTACAGCAAACTTTAGCAAACATTCACATTAAAGATCCACAGTCTAATTATTTTTTTTTTCATGCAAAAGTTTCGATGTGTCTAGCTTTTAAATTTCCTTTAATAGCTCAGCTGTTTATTGGTTAGACCAAAAGTATATAAAAACGAAGAAGGAAGTATCCTTTATACACGTTATAATTTTTTTTAAAATAGATGTTACTTGTTTCGATGAAAAACATTTTTTTGTTAAACCACGTACAAAAAACGTGAAAACTTTTACATCAACCCAATATCTATTTTTCATATTTCAGTTGATGTCTGCCAGAGAATCGGCCTCGGTAATCCTCTTCCTCTTACGCGCGGGCATTATTAAGGTCACTGGCATGAATCTAGATTGTCGATGGACGAAGAAACTCGGCAGCAGCGCGGCGCGATGAAAAATCGCGTTTTCAGTCGATTCGTGGATCGTTCGCCGGCCACTTTCACCGCCTTTGCGCGGCGGGGAAAAAACAGAGAAGAAAACGCGCTCGCGCGCGCGCGCGAGTTTCATCCGGTTCACGCGCAAATCACGGAAAATGGCCCCGTCCACGCACGCTTATCACTCGAAAATAATTGATCGCTTATTAAGTGGCCGATAATCATTCTCGAGCGAAGGAAATTCAATTAAAACCGCCGGTTAAATTTGTAGGGAGCGAAACGAGATATTACACGCTTCTGAAATTATAATTCATTCCCTCTGTAGCACGTTCACATCGATCGATAACAGGAGATTAATTGAAAATGCGACGGTTCATAAAAATCACCGGTCGCACACTCGTATCGAGGTCCAACGAGTGTCATTCTCGATTTATTGCAACCGAAATGGTTGCTGGAATTCACGCACGGATATTTAAATGTTACATGACAGATATTGTAACAGTGGATTATATTGGACTGGAGATTTTATATGTTTATATGGAAAATAATTATTATTAATTATGACATTATGGAAATTCCGGAGGGAAGAAACAAAGTTCTATTCTTTGGAATATATTTCAAGGGAAACACTTATAGTAATGCAAAGTTGTAAAGGAAATGTGATCAAAATTTGACGTGCGAAGGATCAACTCTACCGAATATATATATCGCGATTAGCATTGCAAGTTCTCAGGAAAATGGCAGAACGTAAATGAAATTTTGGTTTCCCGAAAAATCGAAAAGATCTTCACTACACTAGACACAACGGAATCAGAATGTCAATAACCGCACTTTCATAGTTTCCATAAAAAACAACTAATTACTTCGATTACTTAATGATTCTATTATCAACCCGTTGCCGCTACCATATCAGACCCGCGATGAAAATTTTCAACTAACTTTGACAAATCTGAACGTCATTTATTTGCCTTAAATACAAATTAAACATTTCTCTTCTGTTATCAATCGTTGACGTCTCAAGTAAATAAAAAGTAGCGAGTCAAATAAGTACCAAATTCTCTGCTTTCTAATAAATTATTCACATTAACACGTTCGCTACCAGCGTCACATATTTGTGACGATCGACATTTCATATATTATGAAATAAAGAGTAAATTACATTTACGTGTGTTCTCATCTAGCATTGCAACGCATGGTATAACGTACAGAAAGTTACGAAGATATTTCTTCTTGAATATTCCTTGTATTTTATAAAGACGATATGTTCCATTTAATAAAATATTTTAATCACGACGACTGTCATTGAAAGAATTGCTAATATCGAATGGGTTAACACAAATGCCGTGTCGGTCATCGATGACCGACGCTTCTTAATTTCTTGAGTAAAACTACAATATGCAAGATAACTGCTGTTGACTAAAAATATCGAGTAACATAAATAAGTTAACAATAGCGTAATGTAAGAATTCTGATGGCAAATATTTAATAACTGTTCCTATTTACTTCCGCTACGAAGGAACAAATCATGTATAAAATATTCTAGATTCTCGTGGCGTTTAACGTGTTAAAGTACTTTTACCCAGTACGGTTGTGAAAGAGATCATAGGGTAAGAGGTTAAAGTGATAATGTGCGGGTTCGCAGAGGCGCGAAACGATCGTTCGCGAAACGAAACGTTTTTGAGTCGGCAAGTCTGGTTTTCAAGTTCACGATCGACGACCCGTCAAGCCAGGCCGGAAGAGACGTCGTTAAAGGTGGCGGCCGTGGAGACGGGTTCAGAGACCCGCCAGTGAAAGTCCATCGGTTCGACGGGCGACAAAGACGATGCACACCTGCGTAACCTCCTGCCTGCGGCGAAATCTTCGGTTACAATCCCCTCCTCCCCATCCCGTTCCCTCGCCGTACGGTTATTCTTTTTTCGAAGCACCGCCGTTGTCACTCGCAGTGATTTCATTTTATTCCGAAGCGGGTTCGATCCGTTCCGTTCCATTCCGTTCGCTCCTTTTTCGTTCCTTTCTTCTAGACCAGTGGTTCTTAACACGTTTCGTGCCGCGTGAGGCGTATATGACCCACGCTGAATTTTCCATTCAGACCGAAAATGAACTCCCATTGAAAAACGAAGAACTTTTTCAAAATTTAGTGTAGAGTCAAAGATAGGTATTTTAATATCATGTATACTGCGTTCATTTAATTTTAATTGATTGTAAAAGTGAGGGTCGTATACGCCCCATACGGCCTGAACGGAAAGTCTTAAAAAAATGGTCCGGCACGGAACGTGTTAATGCTAAACGTATCGCGACCGGTTTTAAAATATGACTTAAAATTTTGTATTTTCTTTCGTCCATTTAACTTTCTAACGATTCTTATATTGCCCGATTAATCGGTTTATTAGTTTCTCCATTTGGTGTAGTTTCTACTAAAAGAATTGCTCGTGCGAACTGTTTACTTTTAGTTTACGACTAATTATTCAGCTGGTTAGAGTGGATAGTTGTATATAAAATGCTGGTACGTTTAGTGTTAAGTCATTCGTTGGTAGAAGCAAATCGTGTGGCTTCATTCTTATCGAAAAGTTGTTAACGATTCGTGTTAGAACACGTGAGATATTGGGCTGAAGCAAATTTTGAAGCTTTTTGGTAAACGGTTAACGGAGAAATTGTTATCTTAGAAACAAATGTTCTGCTTATTTCTCATAGAAGAACGTCAAAACTGAATGGGGCGTGTTAATTCAGTAAACGTTTAAGTCGATTTTGATTAATATAATGAATGATTATACTGACTGTTTATTTTTGAATATGTAATTTCTAAGGTACAAGATCAATTTGTCTAGGAACAATAGAAGAAACTGTACAATAACTGTTCGTGAACCTAGTGTTAGCTGATGCTCTATGAGCTTGTTATAAGCGTTGCGGAAAATTATAGGAATTAATGTGAAGTACTGTGGGAAAAAATGTAGGTGTAACTCGTTAGAGAGCAGTCTCATGAGTTTGTAAATTTAATACATTGGTGACGAATGTTCTACAGAAACTGTAGTTCCCAAGAGTGAAGTTCTA